AGCAGTGACATTTGATTTTTTATGTTAATGATTTTATGCTCTCATGTATATTAAAGAACCGAAATCAATCTAACCATATTGGTGAGTATGAAAAAAACATAGATATTTAAATATTAAAAGGAAGATCTAAGAGCCTAGAGGAAAACGTGTTTAGAGTATTCTAATCCATATAATGTGCCTACTCATGTTCTACTGATTCCCGAAACATAGCTATAGCCCATATTGCTTCGCTGCAAGATGGATGTTATGCTGGAAATTTTGTTATCAGATAAGAGAGCTGAAAAATTTCCGAATGAAACTCAATCTATTGTAAGTCAGGTGACTTAGTGACGGTTAGAACCAACCGATTGTGTTTCGGATTTAGACAATCTTCACTCGGCTTCATGGTATTCCATGGCGATCAAAGAGGCTAGTGCCAATATACCAGAGAGAATCTGCTGTATCTTGTATGCTTCCAGCAGCTAGAACTGTTTTCTAAGTGAAAAACTTCGTCATACAGCTAGAGATCGATGTAGCTGCTAGAAAAAAACATGAAACGTACTGGATGCATCTCTAGTTTTACATCTATCGAAATTTCAAAATGCTAAACAAATTTATTGGTCCCTTTTTCGTGGTTTATTGAGGTTGCTGATCTTTTTCTAGTTACCAGCTATCAAGGTTTGACTTCTGTAGAAACAGTCCCACATGGACAGTTCAGAGCAGCATGAGCTTTATAACAGGTATAATAATTTATAGTTCCAACTTTTCAAAGCAGCAGCCATGCGGTGAGCACAGGACGAACTATTCTTTCGCCTTTTACTAAAGAATACCGTGTGCTTGCCGCAGAAAGTGGCATACTTCTATTTTTTGAAGGGCTCGTTCTTTGGAAAGGGCCCTAAAATTTTAGTTAAATGGATATTTTTTTTTCATACCTAGTTCTCTTTAGCATTTGTAGTTCTTCAGTATTTCGTTTCAGTTGTATCTTATGATGATTGACATCTGTAATAGGATTAGCTAACTTTGCACGATAACAAATACTTCACTTGTCCGACCCCCAAACTAATGACACTCCATTTCAAGCTGTGTTTCGGTTTCGACCAAAGGGGACACCGTGTAAGAAATTGGCTCAATTTTCTCATCGAAGAAGTCACTTCCCTCACAATCTTTAGGGGCAGTTCTGTTTCGAAGCATTGATAGACACTCGATAACTCTTATAACTCTCTATCACTCAATAAACTTATAACTCGTACGAAACACAAGTACAACGCGATCACAAACTTCGGTTAATTTATAAACACCGCTAATAAAAGGTTTGCTAAATTTTACTCTTACTCTCGTCCTTTTATCGCACTGACGTTTTTCATACATTACATGAACTAAAGCTAAAGATACACACACTTATATAGGATTCTTCATTGTCGTGATTAGCTTATATTTTGCAACCCTTTTCTTAATTAATAATCTTTGAATGGCTGCTGCTAACTGTTGTTGCCAATTCTCCAAGTTACTGCAACATTATTATTTTGTTGCTTTCATACATATTGATTTTCTGCTGCCAACACATCAATTAGCCACTGCCGTGCTGCCTTCATTTCCTTAATTGCCAAGAATTTCTAGAAGTTTCTAGCCATATTGTTGCCGACATGTTAAAATCAAGTTTGATTTTAACACTTCTCATCAAACTTGATTTTTCATTCCAAGTTTTTCTTTGAATGAGTAGAATACGTATGCTTTCGATGGCTTCATAAAAATATCTGCTAATTGATCTTCAGTTCAGCAATAGATTAACTTTACATTTTTGTTCTTCACCTGCTCTCGTATATAGTGATACATTATATCAATGTTTGCTTCGGCTATTGGAGACATGATTCTTGGCAAGAGAATTGTAGACTTGTTGTCGACATAAATTGTAGTTGGTTCTTCTTGTGCTAAGTTTAGCTCATTCAAAATATCTTTAAACCATAATGCTTGGCAAGTGCATGATTCAACGACTATGTATTCTGCTTCACATGTCGAAAGTGCTATTGTTTGTTTCTTCTTTGAAGACCATAAAAAATCTGTAAGGCCAATAAGTAACAAAGATCCAGAAGTACTTTTTCAATAATCTAAGTCTCCCCCATAATCATTATCATATTACCAATTATTTTTGAAGTTTCTGAATGTTTGTAGAACAGGCCATGACCAGTCATACCTTTGACATATCTTAAAATTCTCTTTGCTACAATCTAGTGATATTGTTTTGGCTTCTCCATGAATATGCATACCAGTCCCACAACGTATGTCATAAATGGTCGTGTAATAGTCATATACATTAAACTTCCAATGATGATTTAAACAATGTCGGATTTACTGGCTCTCTTATTGAATCAACACTTAATTTCATGTCTGGTTCTGCTGAAGTGGCAATTGGGTTGCAATCTTCTATTATGAATTTACTTAAAATTTGCTCTACATATCTCTTTTGTGAAATAAATATTCCATCTTGCATTTGCTTCACCTCGACTCCAAGGGAGTATGGCATTTCACCAATATTTGTCATTTCATTCTTTAATCATAGCTTTCTTGAAATCAATGAATATACCTGGATTATTTCCTATGAAAATCATGTCGTCCACATATAAACACACGATCATGATATCACCATCTTCATTTTTCTTCGTATATAAAGCATGCTTGTATGGACTCTTCATGAACTCATTTCTCTAGAAGTATTAATCTATTCTCGTGATACACGCTCTTGAAGCTTGCTTTAATCAGTATAAAGCTTTATTCAATCGATATACTTTGTCTTCATTGCCTTTTAATGTATCTAAGTGGTTGCTCAATATAACTTCTTTTCTAGGTAGTTATTTAGAAATGTTGACTTCACATCCATCTGATAAATCTTCATTTATTTTGTGTTGTTGCTATTGTAAGAAGTATGATGGTCTCGATTTTTATTACTGAAGGAAATACTTCATCATAGTTTATCCCTCGTCTTTTTTGTAGTCTTTTTGTTTATTTAATCGATTTGATGAATCGGCCAAGAGGGGTGAATTGGCAATTAAAATTTCGGTGGAAGCTTTTGCAGAAAATTGAAATATTTGCACAACAATTTAGAGTGGTTCGACTTTCTCAACCAAAGTCTACGTCCACTACCTTAGCTATCCACACTAAGGATTTCCACAAATTCACTAATTTGTCTTCTTTTGAGAACAAAGAGTAACCTTACAACTCCCTTAAGAATTATACCCCAAATTCTTGAGAACACTCTCTCCCAAAGAGAAAATTACAAATTCACAAACTTTACAGAAAAACCTCACAAGGTAGATTGTTTGCACAATTCTAGAACAAGGAAAAAACACTCAAAGATAAATACACTTGAGCACAAAATGTGTTCTTGAAAGCAAAATGATATTGAATGAAATTGGCTTGAATTTCTCAAACTTGAGGTTTGAAGCTTTATCTCTTGATTTTTTTTCAATTTTTATCGATCATAGGCTTCAGAACTTGTTTAAATACACCTTGGATGAGTTCTGAAAGTTGGGGGTCATTGGTGAGTCGATAGAGCCATTGTGGAGGAATTCTACTTCAAAAGATGTTGGGAGCGTAGGGCTATCGGTACACCTCAAGGGGTATCGATACATCCTGTGTAAAATTCAAATATTTTGACGTTATTAGACTAAGTGTATCGAACTCTCAGGGGTATCAGTACCATTTGGCATCTGTTTTCTCGGAGCCAAAATCAACATGAGGGGTATCGAAACTTAGGATAGTATCAGTACTCTTTCATAGGGGTATCGGTACCCTATGGGGTATTCGTACCCTTTTTGCATTCGATGTGTGAGGGGTATCAGTACTCCCTATTTAAAACTCATTTAGCTCGATTTTGGTTATAAATACTTTGTAAAAATTATTTCAAAAATATTCTAAGATTGAAGAACAATTTTTCATTTAGTAAGGAGTCAAATTGACATTGAAAACTTGGAGAATATGTAATATTCGATTAATTTGATCGAATATTATTTTGAAATTGAATATAAATCTTAAAATTCATTGACACTTTATTTTATATCGAAACATCAAAATGTTTTCAACACTTTGCAACTAATCTTGCTTTGTATTTCTCAACTTTTCCTTATTTGTTGGTCTTCGTCTGATATACCCATTTGACTCCAATTAGGTTGTGACTTTGATCGATTTATTAGCTCCTAGCTATCATTTTTTTTCTATCACGTAATTTCTTCATCTATAGCTTTCCATTGCATCTTTAATCGCTTCTTCATATTCTATTGGATTATTGTTAGCAAGTAAGCAGGAAAAGTGAAACATTTTGTAATTCATAATCATTGTACCTTTTGGTATTATTCTCTCTCTTAGATCTTCGAACTTTAGTGGGAGATAATTCAGAATTTTTTTATGCTGTTACTACTGTTGTTGCTGGTTGTTAATGGTGATGCAGTTAAATTTTGTTGAAGACTTTAATCATCATCTTGTTCATATTGATCGATAAGATCAATATCATCTTTATCTTCATTAAAAAATAATCCTTCAACTTTCTTTTCTTCTTTGCTCCTTCTGCAGTATTTTGCTTCATCGAACTTAACATCCCTTGAAATTATTACCATCTAGTTAAGAGGATTATATAGTCTGTAGGCTTTACTTCTTTCATCATACCTAATGAAAATACAATTTTCTCCTCTATCATTGAGCTTTTTTCTTATTGCTCAGGACGTGGACATATGCAATGCACCCAAAAATTTGAGGTGTCCAACTCTCGGTTTGCGACCGCTCCATGCTTCAATTGGTGTCATACTTTACACTTTTTTTGGACATCGGTTCAGCAGGTAAATTACACAATGAACAACTTCAACCTTAATATTTCTCGGTAAGTGCTTACCTTTGATCATACTCCTTGACATGTCAAGGATTGTGCAGTATTTCTTTCAGTAACTCTATTTTGTTGAGGCGTGTATCAAACTGTCGACTGATAGATGATGTCATGTTCTTTGCAGAAGTCTTCAAATAAATCTGATGTATACTCTCCTCCTCTATCCGATCTGAGTATTTTAAAATATTGATCACTTATTTTTCCGTCATTGCTTTGATTCTTTCAATTTATTCAATGCTTCTTATTTTTATTTCAATATATAAACCCAACTTTTCTACTAAAATCATCATAAAAAGTCATATAGTATCTATTAACTCCAAGTAATAGTATGTCGAAAAGACCAACTATGTCGGTGTGTATTATCTTTATCAGTCTTCGCGCTTGTCAGGATCTATCAATTTCGAAGCTTTGTCTGTGTTTTCCTTTAAAGGAGGCCTCACATAATGATTTGAGGGTTGATTTCTTTTTGCTCAAGTGTTACATGGGTGATATAAACTTGAAATGAACTGCTAACTATCTTGTTTTACATCTATCAAAATTTCAAAATGCTAAAAAATGTTTATTGGTTCCTTTTGCATGGTTTATTGAAGTTGTTGTATCTTTTTCTTAGTTACCAGCAAACAAGGTCTATAGCAATAATACCACACCTATAGTATATAGACACCATGAGCTTTATAACAAGTATAAATAATTATAGTTCCAATTATGCGATCTACACAACCATGCAGTGAACACAGAGCGAACTATTCTTTCACCTTTTACTAAAGAATACTGTGTGTTCGCTGCAGAAAGTGGCATACGCCTATTTTAGAGGGCTCTTTCATTGGAAAAGGCCCTAAAATTCAAGTTTAAAGCTTCTTTTTATAATATCTTTGTTTACCTACTGATATCTCCCTAAACACCATCTGGCTCAAACTTAGTTGTTTTCTCTTTGTTTACTCATTCATTACTTTGTGTTGATCTTTAAAGTCATAATATGTGCATGACATGTTTTGCTTCTTGTTAGTCAAGAACAGATTATCAGTTGGGGGTGAAGTAAATACCATTAAAATACTAGATCTAAAAGGATTAGTGGTACTTTGATGTTTTTATGTTCTTGTAATTTGGATTTAAGTGATATATATATTAGATGCAGCCCCGATCTTGTTCTTTTCGGGGCCTTAGGCAATATGATAGACTGGTGCCCCTATTTAAATTGAAGAAGAAAATTTTCGTTGTTATTGATAAGAGAAGGTTTAGGAGCTTTAATGTTAATAATTTTATTTGTTTGCGAAATAAGGAAAGTTTTCATGAGTTTAGGGGGTAGAGATTTAGATTGAATTTTGGATCTTGGAGAGAGAGAAAACAGAGAATTGAAGAGTTTCTAATGATAGTGATGAAGCATCCGTGATTCAAGGGTCTTTGATGAAGCTTAAGAGTTTTTTTGGGTCTTTGATAAAGGTGTACGTGATTGATGAGAGAGTAGTAATACATCAGTTCTTTTCCCTTTATATTTTGTCTTAATATGTTTTTTATTTATTTTATTTTTCACTAGAACTATTTTTAGATCCAACGTTGTATCCCTTCCCATCTTGGGCCCTTGACCATTGCCTAACATACAACCCTAAGGGTCGGGACATATTAGATGTGTCAATTCTTTTCCATATTAAATTACTGAAACTAGTCTAACCGTAATCTAGTATGAATTAAACATAAATATTTAAATATTGAAACGAAGATTTAAGAGTTTATATGATCTTTTTATTGTGTTTGGAGTATTTTAATCCTTACTTTAAATGAAAAGGTGCCGAACTCATTGATTCAACATAAGCTATAGCTCATTTTGCTTTGCTGCAAGATGGATGTTATGCTGGAAATTTGTTAACAGAGATAAGAAAAGCCGAAAATATTCTGATTGTGAACTCAAAATCTATTGTATGTCAAGTGACGTTTAGAACCAACTGGATTGTGTTTCGGATTTAAACAATCTTCACTCGGCTTCATGATATTCCAATGGAGATCAAAGAGGCTAGTGCCAATATATCAGAGAGAATCTGTTGTATCTTGTATGCTTTTAGTAGCTAGAAACTGTTTCTAAGTGAAAACTTCGTCATACAGCTAGAGATCGACGTAAGTTGCTAGAAAAAAACACGAAACGGTACTATATTCATCTTTAGTTTTACATCTATCGAAATTTCAAAAAGCTAAAACAAAATTTATTGGTACCTTTTTCGTATAATCCCATATCGAAATTACAAAGACATCATGAGCTCTATAATAAGTATAAATAACTATTGTTCCAATTTTGCCATCCAAGCAGCCACTCAGTAAGCAAAGAGCGAACTATTCTTTCATCTATTACTAAAGAATACCGTGTGTCGTAGAATGTGGCATATGCCTATTTAAATTTAAAGTTATTGATAATCCCACTTTCGTTTTCCTTTAAATTTTACATTTTTGTTCTTTAACTGCACTCGTATATAGTGATACATTATATCAATGTGTTTGCTTCGGTTATTGGAGACATGATTCTTGGCAAGAGAAATTGTAGACTAGTTGTCGACATAAATTGTAGTGTGTTCTTCTTGTGCTAAGTTTAGCTCATTCAAAATATTCTTTAACCATAATGCTTGGCAAGTGCATGATTCAACGACTATGTATTCTGCTTCACATGTCGAAAGTGCTATTGTTTGTTTCTTCTTTGAAGACCATAAAAAATCTGTAAGGCCAATATATAACAAAGATCCAGAAGTACTTTTTCAATAATCTAAGTCTCCCCCATAATCATTATCATAATTACCAATTATTTTTGAAGTTTCTGAATGTTTGTAGAACAGGCCATGATCAGTCATACCTTTGACATATCTTAAAATTCTCTTTGCTACAATCTAGTGATATTGTTTTGTCTTCTCCATGAATCTGCATACCAGTCCCACAACGTATGTTATATATGGTCGTGTAATAGTCATACATTAAACTTCCAATGATGATTTTAAACAATGTCGGATTTACTGGCTCTCTTATTGAATCAACACTTAATTTTATGTTTGGTTCTGCTGAAGTGGCAATTGGGTTGCAATCTTCTATTATGAATTTGCTTAAAATTTCTCTACGTATCTCTTTTGTGAAATAAATATTCCATCTTGCATTTGCTTCACCTCGACTCCAAGGGAGTATGCCATTTCACCAATATTTTTCATTTCATTCTTTAATCATAGCTTTCTTGAAATCAATGAACATATCACTTGTACCAAAAAACGGTTGTCGCTACTAGACGACGAAATGGATTTTGGAATTTATTAACATTTTCCAAAAAAGGTACTGTTAATAATCCCGCGGGTACTGAAACCATTAAAAGAACACCCAATAACTTGTTAGATACTGTACGAAGTATTTGAAATAAGAAAGATATACCATTCAGGTAATATTTCCAAAGAAGTTGCAAATGGATCTGCGGGTTCACCAATCATTGAAGGTTCTAGGACCGCTAAGCCCACGTTACAAGCAATAGTACCGAGAATTACTACTGGAAAAATATATAAAAGATCATTGGGCCATGTGGGTTCCCCATAATAATTATGACCCATACCTTTAGCTAATTTAGCTCTTAATACAAGATCGTTCAAGTCAGGTTTTTTTGTTATTAGGATAGGTGAATTTTTCTAAATCCATCCCCCGAAGGAATCGGACATGATAATTTTTCATCATCCAACTCAAGCAAAAGTCAATCGAATAAAATGGATACAAACGGATACCTAAAAAAATCTATATGTTATCCCCACATATGAATGATTCCTATGTAAGAAAAATGTTACCCGATTTCATTTTACGAAGTTGCAGCTATACATTCCAAGGAATTCCATTTTTACAGGTAAATGCTCAATACCCAAGTATGCGTACAAAGTTGATCGTGATCAAGTGCTTTCTGGGTCGTCTTAGGCCTTGCGATTCGCCTTTATCCAACAAAAAATATATCGAGATTTTTTACATACAAAGGATTTACTTGTTACTAATATAGTCTAGCCTTTGGCTCTTCTTTAGATCCCTTGTTTCACTCCGATAGTATAATAAAATCGGGTCGATGCAGAAGAAATGAATGCATTTTCATACTATTAAGATAAGAAAGTAAAAAAAATAACTAAAATCTAATTTGGGTTATGCCAAATCACTTACTCTACTGGATCTTACGGAGCCCTGTTTATACACAACATCGTCAGGTCTGATCATAGAAAGATTCTCTTCAAGCGAACCAACCTATCCTTTGTATGGGGCTTACACGGTGGTTGGAACAAAGACACATTTGGTTGTGAATTCCAATGTAGCAGATAAAGGCATATTTCTGCACGGCCCAATCAATAGTTCAAGTCACACACTCCCATAATCCATTTTCTCTTTGGGAAATTCCCTTCAACTATTCATGTCATATCAAATAAATAATAGAATATTGTGTAGTTGAAAGGAAATATCCAAATACATGTCTTATTTTTTTTTCAATAATCCATACTTGTAACAATGAAATACTATTGTTCCTCCCCCAAGTAATAAGAGAAATTATTGGTTACAATATAGCTATGGTTTGTATTCTCTCTAAAGGGTCTATATTCTCTATAAAGGACTAGAAATGCCTTGCTTACGTATCATTAGGAAATGCATTAACATAAGTACATTATTAAGAAGAGGTAATACAAAAGTGTGTAAACTATTAGGAAATGCATTAACATAAATACATAATTAAGAAGAGGTAATACAAAAGTGTGTAAACTATAAAAACGGGTCAAAGTGGATTGTCCCACACTAGCACTTCCATGAAATAACTCTACCAAAGGCGACCCTATTAGCGTAATAGCTTCCAAAACACCTGTTACGATTTTGACTGCCCAATAACCAATTTGGTCCCGAGTTAAGGAATAACCTGTTACGCCAAAAGATACAATCAACACATCCAGAACCACGCCTGTAACCCAAGTTAATTCGTGAGGCTTTTTAAAACCAACAGTGAGATAGACACGAAATACATGTAGGATCATCATTAAGACCATCATACTTGCCGACTATCGATGAACTGATCGGATTAACCAACCAAAGTTAACTTCAATCATTATGTATTGAACAAAAGCAAAAACCTCAGTAACGGTTGGACGATAGTAAAAAGTCATAGCAAATCCTGTAGCTACTTGTACCAAAAAACAAGTAAGCGTAATTCCTCTTGGATTATTTTATGTGAAAATCATGTCGTCCACATATAAACACACGATCATGATATCACCATCTTCATTTTTCTTCGTATATAAAGCATGCTCGTATGGACTCTTCATGAACTCATTTCTCTAGAAGTATTAATATATTCTCGTGTTACAAGCTCTTGAAGCTTGCTTTAATCTCCATAAAGCTTTCTTCAATCGATATACTTTGTCTTCATGCCCTTTTTAATGTATCCACTGATTGGGCAGCCAACAGAAATTTAGTGATCTCCGTAGCCATTTTAACTAACCTGCAATTGGAAACAAAATCACTAATCAGCATTGGTGAATAGGACACAATACATCACTATAGATTGCAGCCAGTTATAATTGAACAATATCAAACATTCATAGATAGTAATAATCATGGTTGGAGCCTTGGAGCAGATGTTGAAGGAATGAACTTATCAAAACCACAAGTTATCCGGCAAACATAAATCAACATTTACCAAGCTTAATATAGAGTAGAATATCATTGCCAATGATAGGTTAACAGTGACAAATATGTTGAAACAGTGAAATCATACTTTCCACTAAAAGAAATTAAATCCCTATACTTAATAAGAATATTAAAATTTCAAGTGCATGCAGTAACTTCTTTGTTAAATTTCTTAAT